AACTTCTTTTATAGAACTACAAAAGAACCCTTATCTATTTTGCAGCATTAAAAATCAACTCCACTCTTCACAACAAGAAAATGCCATGGGTGCATCATTGGAGAAATCATTTAGTTTTTTTCATCTCAAGATTTGCTCTTACTGTGTAGAGTGATTTTATGGGTCTCCACAGGCTGAGATCAGGGAGGAAAAATGGAAAGCTGCCAAAAAGGGAGCTCTGATTTTGAGAATCTTGCCTGGGGTTAAAAGACAATGAACTATAGCAGGCTTTGATCTGCGTTCATATCCAGGCAGAATAATGATGGCTACTTTGACCAGAGCTAATGATGTCTGTGGTATGTAAGCATACTGCAGAGGGGGATTTGTAGGCACACGGGCACCTTTAATGAGTTTTATTTGTTTTGTTTTATCCCCCTCCACCTCCTACTCACCTCAGAACACGGAGTAATGAAGAGGGAGGGGTAGTGCGGGTTAAGAATCAGTCTTCTCTACACCTTCATGGGGCTAATTATCCAACCCTCACGAGGATCATCTCGCTGCTTCACCTAAAGGAAAAGAGATTTCTCCTCCTCTCTCGACACATAATTCTATATTAACCTCCTTTGTTAGTCGACATCGGAGCGTGTCTGTCTGTCTATCTGTTTGCTATTGTTGTGGATGAGGCTAATTTCACTTGGCTTTTTTTTTCTTTTTTTTACCAACTATTCCCCTCCATGTGTCTCATTTCAGCATGCTGATTTACTGATGGATATGGAAGAATGCAAGGTGGAAGCTCATGAAGTGAAGGGACCATGAGCAAATATCTTTAAATTATTTGTCCAATTAACAGTCAAATGGACAGGTGTTTTGTTTGGCTTTCCTTATAGTTAAATTCAATATTACGTGTAATCGAGTCGTCTCATTGAGGCCTAAGAACAAGAAACATTCATACACACCAGAACAACACATACAAAGCAGATGATCAACAATCAAGCAACAACAAAAAAGTAAAATAAAATACAAGAATGTCAGATCATATCAGATATTTAAGTTTTAAAATCCTCCTGGGGAGCGAAAGAAGCCAGCTTGATTGCAGGTTGGTTCACCAGCTCTTGAGGACAGAAATGTTCTCTGTTTGGTTCGCTATTTACTTACATCTACTCAAGAACCCACTTCAGCTTTTCTCGGCTTTGGACGTGGAGCGTCCATGCAGCAGTTTTTTTTTTATTTTTATGGGGGCTTGGTGAGAGCTGGAGGGATTTAAATGAACCACAGTGGTTGAACAAGCAGCTGACAGCTACCCAGACCTGACTGAGCAGTTGGTTCTCAGTGGGATCTGCAGGAAGAGCTACACTTTACTAAAGCAAGTCATTTGATTCAACATTAAAATGATCAAAAAGTATTGCTTCATCAAGCTATAAGTACTGAATATAATAATACTATAATACTGAATTATACGGGGCTGTTTGTTAGGTCTACCTCCTAAAAGTTGATGACTTGAGTCAGTTACCAAAGTATATTACACACATACTGTAGTCCACCCACACAGTTTTCACTTATCTTGCCTGATAAGACCTCTATAGATAAGAGCTGGTAAGACAGTGTGTGATTGTATACTTTTGATCTCTCACTTTCCTCTCAGCTCAGTTGCACCTGTTAGGAACGGGACATTTTACACTGTTGATATCCTGTAATTTGCGAAATTGTTTCACGGCCTGAGTGGAGATCTAATTAGTCAGTGTAATTGAAAGCACCGGTGTGCTTAAGGCTTTATTTGTAGAATTTGAAAATTCACATGTGGTACCACAAAAAAAAGACACAAATTAAAACCAAACGATTGATTGTTTAAACAAAATCAGATTAATCCATAATGAAAATAATCATGAGCTGCAGCCCTGTACAAAATGTTTAAGAGTTAAATGCTGAGTGATGCATGCATGCATGAGTCATTTAAGATATAACACGCACAGGTCATTTCTCTCCATTAAGTACTTTTATTTTTGATACTTTAAGCATATTTTCCTGATGATACTTACATACCTTAATTGAAGTAAAGGAACTGAATATTTCCTCCAACAGTGGTGATAACTGTCAAGCACCCGGTGGTAGGTATCTTACGGTAGCTCAGAAGGTAGAAATGTTTATGACAAGAAGGTTGATGAATCCCTGGACCATCGAGGATGTACTGTAAGAATACTTTCAGAAAATATACTTGAAAATACTTTTGTTTAACTGGGCTAAAACTTTACCAACTTTTCTGTTAATGCTGCACAAAACTAAAACACAGCCGCAGAACCTCTCCAGGGCTCAGCATTAAACTTTAATCCATCTGTCCCACTTCAGAGCAATTTTCACTCTCTCAGAAGTCATAATCACTGACACAGACGATGCCTGGAAAGTGTGTCCTTTAACGGTATCTGTCGCAGCACAATACACTCCCTATCTCTCTGTCAGACTGCAGGTCCCAGGCCATCCCCTCCTCATTAAGCATATGTCTCACTTTCCATTTCAGACAGGAGATAGCATAGAAGTGCACACAAAAGCACTATTTTCAGGCCCTTCTGCTCATCTCGTCTGAAAGTCTAATGAGAGCGGATCAAATATAACTGACACCGAGGGGAGACAAAGGGAGACGTAGCCCTCGGTGAGAGATGAGGCGAGGCAGAACAATGGACCAGAATGTGCCGTCACTGCGGCGGTATGGAGGCAGGACCAGTGAATGTAGATGATTCTGTAATGAGGGATTAAGTGGTGGATTATGGGTCTTTATTAAGATGTTTCTGATCCTCATTAGGCTGAATCTCGTATCAGGGCATCGATTCCCCCGCTCGCTCGCTGGATTGGCTGCTCTCTGGAGGAAGAAGAGAGAGGAAAGAGAAAGAAAGAGTGAGAAAGAATGATAGAGAGACATGTGCCTTTAATATGCTCCTCTGAGTCATGTAACAAAAAACTATATGTATATGTAACTGTCTTGTTGGAGATATAAGCATAAGTGAAGTGCTGCTGGAGCGCAGCAGAACGACTTTTCTCCAAAGTAAGGAAATAGAATATTCTTATCCTTAATTCACACAAAGCATTTGAAATTCATATTTTTCAAGTACTTGAAGATCCAATTATCAGTAAAGCATATGCCATGCAAGAGAGCCAATGAAAAACAAACTGAATGGTGAAAGTTGTCATATTGATATCTAAGGTGTGTTGATTGATTCACAGCATCAACAACATCACAACAGCAAGAAACACGCTACGCTGGTTGCTGCTGGTAACCTTTGAAATGAGACACCACTGCAGTGTTGCAGAGAACTATTTGCTCAATAATGCGAAGTGTTCAATAATTTTCTTTTCTTTTCTTTTCTTTTCTTTTCTTTTCTTTTCTTTTCTTTTCTTTTCTTTTCTTTTCTGTTTTGTTTTGTTTTTGTAATAACTGCCAACAAGTTCAAAGTACTTGGCAGAGAATGAGTGAAACTGGACTAGTGTAAATACTGGGGGACTAATGACGGAATTGGGAACATGTGAGTAGGAGGATACGGGGGATCGGGTGACTAGGAATGGCAGAGAGGGCTGGGGTTACTGCAGGGCATTTGGGAGTGGCAGGATCTGGAAGGACTGAGTGAACTTGCGAAAGAGGCGACCATGATAGAATTGTGAAAGTGCAAAGCTGTGACATTTTGCAGGTGTTTGTTCATAAATCAAAGTGCTGGACAAATTTTCTTGATGGAGCTAAATGAAAAGTCAGGGATTTACCAGAGTTATTACAATTCATCCTGATGGGGACGTGAAGGTTTGAACCAGATTTCTAGGCCATTCAGCCAATAGTTGTTGAGACATTTCACTCACGCAGGAAAAGCCAGTCAATCCAACCAGTAAATGTTGACCTCATTATTGTCAAGAGGAAAGGTCACAGGTTCACCAAAGTCAGTAGGATTCATCCTCTGGGGACCATGAACATCTGCACAAAATCTCATGGTAATCTATCCTTTAGTTGTTGACATATTTTAATCTTGGTCAGAATGGTGGAAAAAACACAAATGTAACCCTAACGCGTTTTTCATTTCAACATTTACATATTGTTACCATGTTTATGTAATATGTCATTTCATTGTTGTGTGCTTACCTGTGTGACTGCTCTGTTGTTGTGCTCCTAATGAGAGAGGGACTGAGGGAAACACGCAGTCGAACTTAAAACAAACCCAGATGGTGCAAAGACAATATTTACATCTCATACACCCTCTGAGCGAGTCCGCAGCCCAATTGGAGCAGTGTTAATATTATCAGAGAATCTCAGCTATTCCAGTATTTATATGACAATGTCCAAGTTTACTATGTTAGACTCTAGACACAATGGTTTAAATTCCACTCCAATCCAGACTAAACTTCCTCCACCTCAGTTAGACTACTTCAGCTGACACAGGTTTTTATTTATATCGAGAAAGCAGCAGTTCGTGCTGTGCATATCACTAGCTCTCCAGCTGTAAGTCAAAAGGCTTCGCAGATGGTGAACAGACCCATCACACAGAGCACATTGAAATTTCCCCTCTCACTTCTGACTCTTGATCTAACTGTTCTTATTTACTGACTGTTCAGAAGAAGGTGATGTTTGGCAAATTTTGCAACGACTATAATTATAAGGGAAATGGATAAAGTTCTAGTTGCTACAGATAGCCTATTATGTACCTGCTTGTTATATTTGGGTCTTAAGAAAAAAACAAAACAAACATCTGCGTTTCCTAGAAAGACAAACAAAAACTCTTAATTTTGATTCTTCATGACTTTGAGCTGCCGTACATTACAGATTCGTTTAGGTAAATTGGTAAATATTTATTTAATTGACTTCTATGCTGCATATCGATTGAAAAGCCTGAATGACCTCCTGTTTGTCTACAGCTGTTACCCCTGTGAGTTAGAATTTTACATTGACCAGCTCTGAGCTGTGTGAATGTGAGGAAAGACCATTAGTGCTCAGGATAAACTTAAACACACCAGCAGTTTAGTTTATGACAGTTTTATTTAGTGCAAAGAGTCTAATAGCAGGAGTCGGTGATGCGCCTCATGCTCATGAACCTCACTCCACTCTGGCCCATGTTCATGAAGTTCCTGTACTCGCCAGGCCTCATGTACATCATCCTGCCTCTGTACTGGGGCTGCTCGTACATCAGCCAGTGGCCCTCCATCACGTTGCAGGACATGCAGTTGGACATGCGGTAACGGTCCATGATGTTCTCACAGTCGTCCATCAGCTCAGACATCTGACCTCCGAAGTTCTCCTTCTCGTAGATCTTCATCCTGAAGGATCCCCTGTGCTGTGGAGCAGAAGAGAGGTGGGTTTAACTCTTTTTCATCTTCAAGCTTTATAAGACTTGTTATTTAAAGAATAATTGTATTTTAAGCGGTCCAGGGATGATCATCAACAGTAAATCTAGCCGGGTGTGAGATCTTACCATGGGGATCATACGGCAGGACCTAACGCAGTCGCTCATGCCCATCATGCTCATGTAGTCAGTGTACTCGCCCCTCCTCAGGAAGTACTGGTTGCCCATGTAGTTAGTGCGGTCGTACACCATGAAACAGCCTCTCTCCACCCTGCAGGACTGACACCTGCTCAGGTAGGAGGACATGTCGGGGCAGTCGCTCATGCACTCATAGGAACGGCCCTGGAAGTTCCTGTCCTCGTAGAAGATGATCTGAAGGGGGGGAGAGGGAAAGGAACAGGTGTCATGTGTTCAAGTTTAAAGCTGGATGTAGCGTTGTCCAGAAAAAAGTTTGGATTTTACTCTTAAGATTAAGTGCCTCTTTAAACCTGCAATAACTGATCTTTGCCACATGGGGGAGTGGAAACAAGCTATAAACACAACACTGACAATTTTATTTAACTTGTTAGCAAGCAGCTGCGCATTTTCACATCCAGCAGATATGGAGGAACTTCATTAAACATTTGGAGTTGTGCTTCAGGCCATCTATAAGCCAAATATACACTCTCCTTGTAGCTCTGTTTTTGTTCTCCTCCAGCTTTTGAGCGAAATTTGTGCTAAATGCTCCACTGTGCAGCTTGATGCTAACTTTGCATGCTGTTTGTTCATGGTCAGTTAGTATTTTTCAGAGCTTTTACTGGCCTGATAACCAAAACGTTGAGCTGAAAGACACTCTGAAGCTGAGAGCAACAGCAGAGGTGGTTTCTAACTTTATAACAAAAGCTTTCATGTTTGGCAGTACTCTTGTCAAATACAGAGTGTGTTTAAGGCCATAAGGGCAATTTTCAATTTATCCTGTTTAGGATTCTGGTGTAGTAGGAGCCTCAGTGCAGTCATACCAAAATTAAAACTCACCCTGCTCATCATGTTCATGCCAGTGGAAGTCATTTTGTTGGTCAGTGGACGGGTGCTGCTGCTGCTGCTGGTGGAACTGCTGCTGCTGGTCTTGCTCTTGCACCAAACTGTACCCTGCCTGGTTTAACCCTTTTCTTTTATACCTGCCCCCACAGACTGGCCCTTTGTCTAAACCCCCTGAGCCAGCAATGATGCCATAGAAATGGACAGAATATGGAGGGATTGTCCACATTTCCAGGGGCCAATTCGAGTACGGCACGGGGGTCACAGAAATGGTGAAAAGGTTAACAATTGGAGGTCACACCTTGACATTGTATTGACATTGTGTGCCATACACTGTTTCGTCAGCAGCAACATTTTTTCTGTTGGTTTTTTTTTTTTTTTTGTTCCTGACACAGTGCATCATTTGTAAAAGTCATAGAGTACAGATATTTTATACGTAAAAGAGTATTACATAATAAACAGCAAAACCTGCATATGAAAAATATGGTTTTCACTGCACAAAGAAACATTGAGTAAGTGATTATGAGGTTGACTGCATTACATCCAGTGAAAGAAGGTAGATAAAACAGAAGTAACAAGGTGGTATTTACATATAAAAACACAACTTGAAATGTATCAATTATAGCAGGTAGTTGTTTCAGATGTATTTATCATGCTGCTTACATAACTTTTAAATAATATAAAGATTTTTTTTCAAAAAGTCTAAACTTTTGTCACCTTATGATACGATTTATCATTTTGAAACACAAAAATATATTAATTACAAAAAAGGGGTTATTTGATACAACAATTTAATTGTGATGATGATGAGGAGGAGGATAAATACGTTTTTAGTAAATTTTTAGATTATTGATACATCATAAAAAATATTCCTGATTTATTTAGAAATGTGGCCATTGTAATAAGTACTTATCCATCACAAACCACAATGCTGAAAGATGGTTTATTCTTTGTCGTTTTTCAGTGAATGACAGTTTATGCGTATTGGATGTTATACTGTAGATGATGTGTTAGAAACCTCAGTCCTCTGGATAATAGCATAGGTGTAATGTATAAAGACTATGGATGTATTTCCTTTCAGCATCGTTGCTTTCCTTTCAGAAATGACAAGAGATTTTTTTTTTTTCAACAGTGACCCAGGAGAGTAACTGGGAGGGACACAGCTAGTTGGTCTCTCTCTGGTAAAAACGGTTACAGGCTTATGTGGATGAGATTGCCAAAAATCATTCAAATGTGAAAAAAAAGAGTAAATTAAGTACAATTACTTATTTGACATAAGCCTATATGTTATGTCAGACAAAGGGTATGACATAATAAATCATATGTTTAAATCTTATTATAACCACACAGAGTAAGAGGATTTATATCCAGTTCAACTGACAATGATTTATTGGATGTTGCCACAACATTAGGAACTTTATATAGTGACACAATGAGTCATGATTTACATTGTAACATAATGCGTGATTAGGGTATATTAATAAACTAGAACATACAGTAGCCTTCATAAAATGTTTTTCTTTTCTTTTTTTTTAATAAAAAGGGACATGGGAATGTATAGCATGAACAAACAAATCAGATGTTGTACAATGTCTCTAAAAAATAAAAACAATTGGCATGTATTTACAAGTTATAAGAAAATGGTCTACAGCTGTCAAGTAGAAAGTAACTCTTTAGTGGGATACATACAACACCCACATGAAAATAGTGAAGGTTCATGGATGGATTAACCACCAAGGGGCCCCTGGTCAAAGATTTGACCCCTATTGACCTCCACTGTACATGTCAGTTTCATTATTGAACCAAGTACCCAGAAATTAGCCAGTACTATAGAGGTGAAATGATCAGTTGATTAATTGATTAGTTAACAGACAGAAAATTAATTGGCAACAATTTAGCAAACTGAACATATTTGAGTTTTTGACTGTTGGTCAAATTATTTAGAATATTTAGAATATGGGCTTCAGGGAATAGTGATGGACTTTTTTCCACTATCTTCTGACATTTTATCCACTGAACAGGCAATGGATTATTAAAGAAAATAGAGCAAAGGGAGGTCCTACCCACTATTAGTACGGTGTTCCTAATAAAGTGCTCAGTGAGTATGTTGGGGTCACAGGTTACATTACAGTAACTTGGGGCGCAATGGTTGCTTGTAGTTCATCTTGTCAGCACAGAATGGCGCTGTGACACACGTTGTACTCACTGTGTGATTCTCTTGTCTTGGAAACAAAATCTGTGTTGTCAAACGTTGCTAAGGAAGTCACGGAGCTACTTTTTTAAATTAGCCACTCTGAGACCAAAGAGGAGTGCAAGAGAGGTAACTTCACTTCAGCGTAGTAACACGTAAATGACTACACAAGAAAGAAATTACCAACGTCACCCATTTATTAGTATGATCTCATAAAGGTCCGCTTTAAACGTTAGCTCATCTAGCATGTATACCGCTAGTGTTTTGCTAACATTTGCTAACTAGTTACTGTATGGTTATTAGCTCACTAAGTCAACCTAGAAGGTAAACTAAATGTTAGCGCTGTATATCTAAACATGTCCCGTTGCCTGGATGATTGCTTAGTTAGCAGAAATCACGGTGCTATTGTTAGGCGATGGAATTGGACAACAATAGGATTATTGGTTCAGTCACTTGGCTAAGGTTAGCATTTATTAGCTCCCGCTGCTAGCATGCATTTAACGCTAACTAACTAACTAACTCTAGCTATTAGAGGTTACTAGACTGTTCCTACGAATGTACAATCAACACAACCAGGTTTGTACGACCAACTGATAAACTGCAGTGCTAAAATAAAGGGGAGGTAAACTTTACCTAACCTCAGCTAATCTGTCGTGATGGGAAAATGCACCTAGCAGTCTCTATCTCCAAAAACAGTCCCGAATAAAAGACAATCTTAACTTCATGGTCTTTATTATAAAACAGTGTTTGTAATATAACACAGAATAACCAAACTGAACGACGCTGAAGTAAGGTTCAGATTTGCAGCTACCGATATGGTTGTTAAGGGAAACCTAACAATGAATAGAAGAAGAAAAGCCTCACAAACCTATGTGTTAAACAGTCTTTACACGCTACCTGTAAATGTGGGTCAGATTAAACAGATTATTATTTTCAATTAAGATTTCATGTTTTTCCACAGAAGTATAAGTCACATGAAAGCAGTTTATACTGTGTTACAGTCTGCCTGCTAACTTGAGGGGGGGAAGTTGTTGTTAAACAAACTTGTTTTCAGGCCAGCATTTCACTGAATCATTTCCTGCTCTATAACCTCAGGTGTTTGTCACTTAGGATGAGACAGCTTTATCCACCTGACCAGAGCTGGTCTCAGACATGACAAGAGGATGACTGAAAATGGAGAGGACAGCAGCATCCATCAGTACTATGAGGCTCCTGACAAAGGAGATTCAGTTGTCAATGACAGCAGGCCACTCAAGACCTCCTTAGTAGATGTCAAACCCTGCAAGGAACACAATGATGCCCTTGAACTTGCTGCTAGAAACAGAGAGGGAGAGATCAGTCCATACCAACCTCGGCCACCCTCACTACCCAGGCAGTCGAAGCCCAGCAAAAGTGGCTCAGCTGCGGAGACGGTGAGAAACAGGAGGCTGAGAAACAGCCAGGAGAGTCTGAGTGACCCGGCTGAGACTGGCTCCTCCACAGACTCACTTAAAGAGGACCAAACTGTTCCACCTCCAGGTGGGTTTGTCGTTAGTAGTGCTGCCCCGATCAGGAACCAGGACTCCAGTGTGAGACCCCACTCTGCTGTTACGACAGGATCACCAGTCTTCCGGGAGAGAGGGAGCAGTCTCTCAGAGTATGACAGGAGGCCTCACAGCCAGCAGAGCGACCCCACAGACCACCGGATGCGGTCCGCCAAGATGCGTCTGTCTCCGGTGCAACCCACGGGGCCACTGCCCACTCTAGAGAAGAGCTTTGTGTCAGCCACTTTGAGGGCAGCTAATCGGATTGACAGGGATTGTTTGGATTATGCCGCACTGGCCAAAGAGAACCTCGGGGAGAGACTCCACAGGAACCTGAGCGACAGCCGGCTTCTGGAGAACATGGGGTCGGATAGTGCCTCTGTCAACTCCATGAGGTCCACCTATAGCGTGCTTAGCCCCATCAGACCTCAGGATGTGAGGAACAGGTACAGTAGGCTTTGGATACCATGTAGAAGATGTAGCTGGAGTCTTCCTCACACTGGGTGTGAGGGCTCTTTAGTAAGGCTTACTCTTTGTGGTGTCAGAAGGCTATTAAGGTAACTAAGCTTGTAACTTACACATAGGCCAGTGACAACATGAAATCAGCCAAACTTAGAATTGGATCTGTGCGTTTTTATCCTTTGCATCATTAATAGTCATTTATTTGCACATGTAGCTTCCTTTGTCAGTAGAGTGTCAGTCTGAGCTCGGTCCAGGTTTCAACTACTTTATCCTTATGTTCAACAAAAAAAAAGCATTTCTGTGCAGCTGTTTATGGTACACGTACAGTATCTACTACAAGGTTTTTAGTGTTGATCATCCTTTTTGCTTGGAGCTGATAAGTGTATCACATCTGGACCTCGGTTCACTATCAGGACTGAGTGTTGAAGCAACACCAACAGACTGTTAATTTTGTCGTGAAACTAGGGCTCCAGACATTTACTCTTTGTGCGTGTGCAGTGCTCACATCTTTAAGAGAAAAGGAGAACATAATAGTGTGGAGGGGGATTAACACAGGATCAGAGGAGATGCTTGTTCAGCACAGTTTTTGACAGGAGGAGCAAAAAAAATCTTGATACACAGTCAGAGCCCAGTAGGGAAATTATTGACTGAACATCTAAGACCAGAGTGTGGCTTTCTGTTATAGGGAATATTAAGATTTAGTTGTAATCATCTGAGTTAAAGGAGCCTTAAACCAACCACTGTGCAAACCAATAGAAGTGCTAATTTTCCTTTCCAACGTATATTTTCTAGGAGCTTTCTGGAGGGCAGCGTGCTGGGCAGCGGTGCCTTGCTTGGGGCTGAGGAGCTGGACCGCTACTTCCCTGACAGGAGAGTGGGCATCTACATCGCCACATGGAACATGCAGGGAGAGAGGGTATGAGGAAATCATGGCTCTGTAGCATCTCAAGTCTTAACACTCCCTGCACAAGTTCAGGCACCAGTTGAGTAGTAACCAAGTTTCTATCATTTTCAGGGGCTACCGACCAACTTAGATGATCTTCTCCTTCCGACAGACTCTGAATTTGCACAAGACTTTTATATTATTGGGGTCCAGGAGGGCTGTCCTGACAGGTATGATGTACCTTGTTTGTTTGTTAGTTATGATAACTGAATAAAAGTGAGTTATTATGTTTGTTTACTCGATCAGGGCTGTAAAGTTATACTGATGTGTGTGCAGGAGGGAGTGGGAGACACGTCTTCAGGAGACTCTTGGACCTTATTACGTCATGCTGTATGCAGCATCACATGGTGTTTTGTATCTCACTGTATTTGTCAGAAGAGACCTCATCTGGTTCTGCTCAGGTCAGTCCCACTTCACATAATGCAGGAAATAGACATCAGTTCACGAGTGAATGAACTCCACTAGAGCTGAAACAGTCAATATGCCTCAAATTTCCCAATTCCAGTTCTTCTCAATAGTGAGGATTTGCTGATTTTCTTTGTCCTGAACTCCCCCATATTTCTCACTGCTTATATAACTTTTGTGTAGTTTGGGTTGTTGGAAGGTGATCTTAATATTTTGATTTGATAGTTACACAGATGTGTGATGGCATGTTGTCTTACATAAGTTTTATAATAATGTCAGAATCAGATGCTAGATCATCATTACCGGCCAAAGGAGGATTTTGATGTGGTGACATGTTTCTTCTTTGTACACTGGTACATGCACAGGGTTTTGCATTTGAATCTGTTTGATCTGACGCCAACGACAACATTTGTTCTGTTTTACCCACACAGAAGTGGAGCATGCCACAGTCACAACCAGGATCATCTCGCAGATCAAGACCAAAGGAGCTGTGGGAATTGCCTTTACCTTTTTTGGCACTTCCTTCCTTTTCATCACATCCCATTTTACCTGTGAGTACAAGGTTTTCCAGGTTAGTGAGGCTGCAGACTGAAGCAGTGACAACTGGCTTTTATCGGAGGGGCTGTAGATAGGATGGGTTGGAAATTTGTTCTGAAGTTAAGCGGGGATGTGGCAACTCAAAGAAAAAGTGTCAACAAAATGGAAATTGGCTTGAGAGGAAACATCATTTTTACTTCTTCAGCACACTGGCATGTCTATTGTAAATAATACAATATTACAATATAATTCTATGAGAGGTGTCCATAGTAATACTTGCATTTAAACTTTGCAAAATTGAAAGCTCATGATTCTAATTTCTTATTCTGTTCTTCCTCCAGCTGGAGACGCCAAGGTTTACGAGAGAATACTCGATTACAACAAGATCGTGGAGGCTCTAGCTCTTCCAAAAGGCCTTCCAGACACCAACCCGTACCGCTCCACACCGTGTAAGAAACTTTTAACTCAACCCTTGTGAAAGATGTGATGAACCAAAAGAATTAGGTGGTGTTAGGATGGTGGTGTCTCTGCACCGAGTTGAAAAAAATCGGTCAGATTTTAACAGCCACTGTGGTAAGCCTCATATTCCATGTTAAAACGTCATCATTCTCAAATGGGATACACGATATTTATGTATTTAAGTAATTTTCAAAAGACAAATATGTCTTAAAACAATGTAGTCCTTCACTGGATCCATGGCTGTAATGCGTAATGCTTAAGCCTCACTCTATTCACACCCTATTGTCCCAGCTTTAGTCCTGCTACTGAGAGCTGAATATAATTTATTAGTTATTCATATACTTACTTGATGTTGGTAAGAAAACTTGCCATCAATCTTTGAAAATCAAAGAATGTAATTTTTGATTGTAGCTGACGTCACCACAAGATTCGACCAGGTCTTCTGGTTTGGAGACTTTAACTTCCGGCTGAGTAAGGACCGCGTTGATGTGGAGACCCTCATGAACCACACAGGAGCCGGCAACATGGACACCCTGTTGGAGCATGACCAGCTCTCCAAGGAGATGAAGGATGGTATGTTTGCATGTAGGAGGCTAAATCTCAGTGAACACTTTTAGAACATTTTTTATAGAAGAACCATGTTGTGTTCGATTTAAGTCACCGTGAGAATGTGCTTCTGTTTCTCCAGGTTCGATCTTTAAAGGCTTTCAAGAGGCGACGATACACTTCCTCCCCACATACAAATTTGACATCGGCTGCGACATCTACGACACTACTTCTAAACAGAGAACGCCTTCATACACAGTAAGACAAAAAAAAGAAAACCAAGCTACACATGACTAAAGATAATCACATGCTCTGTTAATTGCCAAAATAAGCCAAACTTTTGGCGGAAGAAACTTTTTATCACTCTTATTAAGCTGCTGTAATTGAGGTCTTAACTGGCCAGAGCAGGGCTCAACATCTCCGTTGGTGTTCACAGGACAGGATCCTGTTCAGGAACAGGCAGGCTGATGACATAAAAGTGGTCAAGTACACCAGCTGCTCCAGCATCAAGACCTCAGACCATCGGCCCGTCATCGGCGTCTTCCAGGTCAAACTGAGACCAGGCAGAGACAAGTGAGTCACAGATAGTTTTAGTGGCATCATGAATTCATTCATTGTAGTTGTAGTGCAGTTGTGGTGTAGTTTCCTCAATGAAGCTAATTAACCTTCACTGCTCACATTACATACAACACCAGTTTTTTTATAGAATCAACCTCTGTTCTTGAGCAATTCAACATGTTAGAAAAGACTCTGGAGTTTCTACAAATTCCAGTGAGCAGGGCCACTTTGTTCCCAAACAGCTAGAAATTAGATTGTCTTGAGCCTTTTCAAAGACCTGTTTGAGTCAGAAGTATTTATAAATTACAGTTTTTTTTAACTCCAGCAAATATATTTCAGCTGTTTTCAGATGTTTGATTATTTCTGCCCCTTTCAACTTGACTCTCAATTGCTGTTTTTTAAGGGCGTAAGTGTGGTCTCAACTTTGGTAGGGACACAACAATCCGACCACCTCTCCAAATTAAGAGGACTTTTTAATGATGCCAACCAAATGGTTTATTTACATACAAGATCTGAAGTTACATTCAGAAATGTATTGATATTTAAAAAAAACCTATGCAGTATCAGATCAAAGACTAAAACTTCTAGTGTTTTATAATAAGTTAATATCAGAATACGCATTACATTAAATATAAGTTAGTATTTTACAATTAATTCAGAAAAGTGTATATTTAATCACACTATCATTTTAAAACCTCACCTAAAACCCTGAAGCTGCACCTGTTTCTTCACCAACCTGCTTTACTTCTCTGGTCTGCTGCTGTTCATGAAGGAGGATTTACTGCAGGACTCTTGTATTAGACTAAGTTTTATCTATATGTTCCTAAAAAACTGACAACTGACTGTATATTAGTAATAATCAGTTGTATGCACAGACTGCAAAGTCCCCGACTGGAATTGGTTGATTGATTTCAGTGCAGAATTGATACACCTGGTAAACTAAAGGTGCTCTTTATTTTAATAATCATATATTTTCACCATAACATGTTTTACCCTTCCCCTTTTAAAATGTAACACATTTACTCAGAGACATTTTAACTGACTCACTTTGTACTTTTATTTGAGAACATTTTTACAGTGATTTTACTTCCACTGCAGTAAAACGTCTGTTCAGTGACGGTAGTTACTGACCGTTGACGTGCTGACGTCACCATAGTGTCTCATCTACAGTCGCTGGAGTTTCTCTTACTGGTAGCATTCATTGCTGCTCTATCTGAACAGTTAATGTTGCTGTTTTCTTCATCAAAGTGACTAAATACATGCTGTACATCTAAACTTACACTAGTTCTGCTCCAGCACCCAGAGCTCTCTGCTCCTTTTAGCGACTTTCACTAATTTAGCAGTTGTTTGCATGCTGTTCAGATGTGCTAGTTACTTTAGCTTAGCAGTTAGCGCTAGCTTCTCTCTCTCTCTCTCTTTCGATGTGTCTTGAACAGATGAACTTGTTCATCGGAGTGTGGTGTTGTTGTAACTTCAGTGTAGAGGATTGTGATGTTTATTAAAACTTCAGCGATGTCTGCTGTCTTACCTTTGACACACAGCTCCACTCGTTAACCGCAGGTGCTCTCGTCTGTGTCCGTCTGTGTACACAGCAGGCTTCAGTGTGATAGGCTATTACTCGTGATGTCTAACCAATTAGATCGTGCTGTGGGCGGGACTTTTCTCCAGACAACAGAGTGCTGATTACTGACCTACAGACCAGAAATAGGCGGCTGCATCGTAGCCGAAGTTGGCTTTTTTTATATCAATTTAATCAAGAAAATAACGATAGCAATAATCGGAAAATGCCGAATATCCTTCTTACCTTTATTTTTCCCTACTTTTTATTTTCTTTTATTTTGGCATGAAGCGGGACAGTTTGGTGGGGCAGACGGAGCATTTGGGGAATTGTCCACTCAAATATTGGTAGGGACAATTCTGTCCTCCCAAAAATATTGGTAGGGACATGTCCCTACCGTCCACATGCAAACCTACGCCCTTGCTGTTTTTTTGTTTGTTTGTTTGTTTGTTTGTTTTTAAATGAAAACGTTTTATTTTCTGTGTTCTGACCTCATATCTGCTGCACTCTGTTTGCTTGTGTGTTGGTCAGTATCCCTCTTGGTGCGGGACAGTTTGACCGAGGCTTGTACTTGGAGGGCATCAGGAGGAGGATCACCAGAGAGCTGAAGAGGAGGGAAGCCATGAAGAACCAAGGTAGCAGCACCATCTGTGCCATCTCGTAGACCCTTAAAGTGGACTCTCCAGACCGGACCGGCCCAGACCAGACCAGGCTGGACTGGATCAAACTGTGCCAGAAACAGGCAGATGGAAAGGACCATAAGGAAACCAGAGTTGACTTACTCAGACCGCAGTGCTGGTTGTGGTAACTGAGCAGAGTGCGCCCTGTATTGGGCAGTGTTGGGAACTGTGTGTGAGTGTGTGTCCTTCTGGTCATCACAAGTGACTGGCTGTACTTGAGGGCAGGGACCTTGAGGTCAGACAGACACAGCAGCAGTCTGGCCTTTATTTATTCAGCCCCCCCTACTCAAACATGACTGGGACGGAGGGGGCTGCCGTTGTGGCTTAATCTTCAGTCTCATGCTGAAATGTGAACTGATCTAACCTTGCAGCCTCTGTGTAACTGCATTTCATTTACTAATTCATTCTTAAGCATCCAGAACCTCAGTGTTATGTTTTTTTTTTTAATTTTCTGAACACTACACCATTGTTCAAATGCCTTGTGAATTTCTCATCAAATCGCACCAAACACAACTGCAGCAAACATTTAGGTTCTCCTTAAACATCATTTAGGTGTCTGCCATTGGCATTAAGAAAGGAGAGACTGAAGAGGAGCTGTCGTTACATTATTTCTGTCATGAAGTCAAATAAATGATTTCAAGAGAATGACATTAATCAACACTACAGTCATGAGGTTGTTACATGCTACTGTGGAATTTCAGGGAGATCAAATGTATTTGACAGCTAATATTAAACTTTTTTTTTTTTAAAGGAATTCACTTGCTATAGATGGAGCATTTTATTCATACTGTTAACGCCTCACATATTTTTTCTCTTATTAGGCCAAGTGACCCTTTGGAACAGATTGTAACTTATTGCCTTATCTCTCATCTCACTGCTGTGTAACCTTATATATACTACAAACTATCCATGTACTGTATGTTATGTACCGCATTAATGAACTTGCATCCACAGCATGAAGAGCGGTCTGCTTCAAAAAAAAAAAAAAGTGCCTATGGGTCTTGTTTTCATTTCCTCAGGACCTCTTATCTTTTTCTATGTCAGCTATGATGTAACACCCCTTAATAAACATTTTAAAAACACTTGTTCGTTGAATTGCGTACATCACACTGCAACACAAGACATTTAAAATATATAATTTTATTGATGGAAGTAATAACATTTATTTACCAGTTGGTGTACAGATGTTAACAGAGGTCACATATAACATAACTGTAGTCAGAAGCCACTGAGATAATGGTAAAATACACTTTACACTTATTGTTTTTTTATTTTTAATGTTTTACCTGGCAATTGTAAACCTCTAACTTTGCAAAGATGAGGCAGAAGAGACTCTGAAAGTAATAGTTAAACATTTTGATATGTATTTATTTGCTTTCTGGTGGGAAGCTAGACAAGAACATCGAGACCAACTCTGTCAGTTTCAGTGCGATACCAAGTAATACCAGGGCCAGGATCATGATATAAATACCGAGATCAATGCTTTTATTGTTAAAAGCAGCTCATGTACTATCATGTAAGGCAGAGAATACATCATAATTGCAATGCACCTCTGAATATGTATTTAATTTCCCAAACATGAGGCATTTCTTTGCTATTCTCTTAAGTACCTAATCATGTGCATGTTAAAACACAAGACAGTATTCATAATGTGAATTCTCTGAACTTATTGACCCTAGTACTAATACTCAAAACAAGACTTTGTATCAGGAGTATCAACACTGGATTGATCCGCCCTTCCACATCTCATCTAACTGCGCCAGAAAGTGAATCATTTACCAAATGTCAAACTATGCTTTTAATTTATCCCCTTAAGTTGATTTGAAATTTACACGGGCACCGACAACCAAAAACAATTATAAAAAGGAACAGGTTTTACTTTAGATTTCAGTCTCTCTACAGGGCATCTGAGACAACGCTGACAGAAAACATGATTTCAGTCTGAATACAGTTGTAAAGTTGGCAACAATGATCCAAAAATTTCGAGCAGCGGCATTATTAATCATTAAGTTAACTTTTGCTGTGTGTTGTGTCTCATGTGCCTCTAAAGAGAGATCATTAAGTGCTGTTTATATATTTTCTCTGGAGAAAGGTCTGAGGTGGAGCTCTGTGAATTTTAAAGAGCTGATGGTCTGAAGAGTGAGGAACGTAATGGCTCAAGAAGAAGTATAGACGTTGACACTATGGGAGATGTTAGCCGTCCCCTTCTATTGCATCTGTGCAGAAATAGTTTGAAGATCATTTCACAGTGTAAAAACATAACAGGTTGTTACTGAGGTTTTTTAAATGGGAAACTGACACTTTAAATTTTGGCTTTGGGGTGAACTGTCCCTTTAAAACCAAACTCCTGCAAACCATCAGTAAAATAATGACGTATGGCTTCTTGCCCACAAACAATAAATACATATACTCCAACCATATGTCGACTACTTAAGAGTAAAATGTAACTTTTCTTTAAAATCCCCAGTCTCAGAGGTTCAGTTGAGAGCCCAGGGATTAGCCCCCTCCCTGAGTGAGTTGTGCCAAGTTCTGTGTTGGGAGGGAACACTAGTGTAATCTTCCAGTCCAGTTTATTTACAGTGATGTTTGCCAGTTCAGACTGGCTGAATGGCAATTGGGGACGATGGGGGTGGGGTCTATCGGAAGAGACGGTACATGCGGGGCAGACGTCCGTCCTTGCTGGACAGGGCGGCCTGGATGTGTTCATACGAGGGCAGCTCCGTCAGGTCTCCCAGAGCTGCTACTGCGGGCTTACTGCGCAGCATCTTAGTGGTCACTCTTTTAATATCACTGGCTGTCACATTGCCTGGAAATTATTTTATGACAAGTCAAAAGAAATAAATTAGCAGGGTGAAATGAGACTATTTCTACTATTCTTTTTGTAAATTCTATGACACAAATGTCACGAGTTTAAATGAATGACTAAGAACCACCACTACATTTTGTTCAGTACTCACATATTAGATCACACAGTTCATGCGGCAGCTTTCTCTTTCCTGTGGAGAGAACCTGGCGACCAACATCCTCAAAAATAACCGGCCGTGACTCAAGGTTCATCATCAACATCGACTTCAGCTGAGTCTTGGCCCTCTCTAACTCCATCTGGATATAGAGGGAAAAAATAAAATGTTTACTTTTGATCATGTAAGAATAATCAATATTACAAAAGCTGTGGAGAAGTTTCACTGCAGTGATCGTTACCTCTCCAGCATTTCCAGCCATTTGAATGAACTCTCTGGTTATTATTTCCACCATTTCCCGCACCTGGAGATGAATGTATATAACGGTAAGACCTCATAAACCGCATTAACAATACTTTTCACAAATACATCACATTCAAATGAAGAAGAAACAATGTAACTGAAGCTACAAATTACAATTAATACCAATAATGCAAAATTTCAGTTTTAGATGGACATTCAACAAAATTGAACCTTCCTCCTTTCCTTCCTGTAAAGCTGTGATCGGCTAAAAATCTTTATTTGGATGCAAAGGTGCAACATGATATTCTGCAAGGTAAATATAAAAGCTGTTTCACAGTTATTCCGGCCAAAGTCTGCACAATTTAGCCTGGAATTATATATTATTACAGTATATCTCATTTTTTCAGAGCTTGCCAGTAGTACACAATAATAATGGGCTACCATAGCTAGCAGCAAACCTTTTTTTGTAGGAACTAAATTCTTTGCTTTTTAAGACTTTTAAAGACCCTGCTGCTGTCCTGGGCCTCTACCAACCTGTCTGGGGTCTGCACTGGCATGGATACACAGCAGACCACTGTCCTCATAGCTGTGATGGTAGGAAGTGGCGTTGTACATCCAATGATGCCTACCACAGACAAGGAAAGTAAAATCAATGACAAGTAATAAAACCGGTTGCTAGAGCTGTATTAGTGAAGCAGAGTCTGAATTGAAACTCGAGGCGCTCACCTGTTGAGCACGTTCAGGTACAGGCGGGTGAACATGCCTTTCCCGGGTCCTCCTGCAGAGAAGGAGCCTCCTCCACCCATCATCATGTTGAGCACTGCGAACGGGATGAAGTCGTCCTCCTGTAAAGGGAAAACAATTTTTTTAAATTTGAGAGCTTGTTGCTAACAGGTATCACACACCTGAATGGAGCCAGGCATCGGAAACACCCACCAGGAAGGAGCAGCTCTCCAGACCGATCATGATGTGGGTGAGCTCTGGGATTGGGGTGGGGCCAAGGCTCACATCTGACATATCCTTCTCCATCTAACAGATTTAAAATGAAAAAAGTTATAGTCATGCCTCCTAAGAAACACAAGTGTAAAAACAATGTTAATTTTGCTCAATAACTCCACAGCTCCACATTTCTAGTGGATGTGTGACTAAACAACTTGTCAATGCTGTGTTAAAAAAAAAAAGTTGCCAATAAATCAGAAAACTTGTAAACAACAAAACCAGTGAATCACCTTGACAATGCCACCAGTGTACTGTGCTACAGACTGGTCCACGTTGGCCACGGTGCTCGTTCCCCACACTGGCTTCACGCCCAGCAGGTATTTCCTGGCACATTCAACCAGCTGCTCGTGCTCGATGCCCACTCCAGCCAGCACCATCCGCTCAGGACAGTAGTAGTTACGCAGGTAGCTGTGAAGCACTTTCCTGTCGATCTTATCCACGTTATCTGTGGGACAAAAGCGAGGCAGTCCCACCGTGTTGCCTCGATATGCAGCCTGGAAACAGACATTGAAGTTGTGACTTTATTATCAATGAATCCATTACTCTAATAATTTCACCCCAATGTTACACTTAAAATAGGGCAGATATAATATTAATTAATATTTAATCTACAGGTCCAGATTTAAATAAAATGTGTGGTAAATTCTCAAAGGTAGAGTCAAAATTTTTGACATGCTACAATTCAGAAAAAAAAAGCTGCAGCAAACATATAAATCAATGACTTTCTGGATGCTAAAACACATCGATAGTGTCACTTTAAAAACCAGTGATGTGTAACTCACAGCGTGGATCATCTCGGTGAGTAAAGGCTCAGGGTCCGGCCTCATGTTTAGGTCTTCTAACTCAAAGCGCACCACCATTTTGGTCATCTCGATCTCGTCGTCTGCATGTGAACCAACATATTTCGCTTTACCATGACACCGGTGGAGACACCTCGCACAGTTCTCAAGGACTGATCTGTCATTTCAAGTAAAATGACTTGACATACCGAGCAGGCGAGGCTGTAGTACAGCGTCAGAGAGAAGACTAACCACTGTGTCCAGACCCTTCACTTCAGCAGACACTGCATACATGGTGGTATCCCTGCACAGTAAAATGAAAGAAGCTGTATTACTCAAAACACAGGAAAGGACACACTTCTATTGAAAAGGTAGAAATACACAAATGTAAAATTTTATAACACAGAGACAGACATTGTGCTTAAAGATTCAGATTCAGAAAGACCTTATACCTTGATGTTTGGCAGTCACATATCCCTCCGTGCTTTTCCAGCGTAAGCAGGATTTCATCTTTACTCCCGTATTGAGCTGTGGACTTGAAAGATAAAAACAACACTGATCATTATCAACATCAGTTGACAATGTATGATAACCATCTTTAATTTTGTGCTGTTTCCTTTTCTGTTATGTTTTGCAGCACCTCCAATGCACCAAGAGATTTACTGAGAACTTTGAAAGGTCATTCCCAACAACCAATAACAGAGCCAGAGCCTAGTCTTTCCAGGTAATTTGACTGTCAGCATTAATAATCAGTTTGGACTGGACAATGTAATAGTGTGTGAATGAGTGAGCCGACAAAAACATGTGAAGTCTCAAAAGCAGAAGTACTTACAGAAAAGGCAAGTTTCTCTACGAAATGTGCTATTCCACTTGGGTATTTTGCTTCATATCGGGAGCCAGAGTTTACTAAAACTAAGAAAAAGAAAGAAAACATCCACATTTTACCCACTTCAGTTTGATCCTGAACAAAAGTTGATACCATGTAATTTCCATTTCACTCCTTCATCTTACTTCCAACTGTGCAGAATTGACCGAACTTGTTTTGGGAAGCAACTTTGAGGCCATTTTCTAGAGTAGTGATCTTGGTCTCATATTTTTCCTGACCATCCACAGATGCAAACACTGGCTTGGGGATCCCAGGCAGTGGTGCGGAGAGGGAGATATTTGGGTATCTGCCGCCACTGCTGTACTTTCTGTAAGCTGCGATCCCAAACCTTAGAGAAGAACAAAGCAATGCCTCTTCAAAATCCTCTCAGCAGTTGTAGAAACAGTATAGAGCTACAGCGATTAGTTGATTGACAGAAAAATAAATAGCTATTTTGATAATCAATCAAATAATTTTTAAAGAAAATACGTCAATATGTTGAATTCTCAACTTGAGCAAAAGTAGCTATACCAGTATACCAAGTATACAATAGTTTCCTAAAGAAATTGTTAAGTTAAGTTGCCACAATCATCACCCCCCCCACCCCCCACCACACACACACACACCAACAAGCAGTAGCATGTCAGTGATTACCAGTCATTGCATCAGTCATTGCAAACTCATGCTCTGTAGGCAACTTTATTTTGCAGTGGAAATAACAAAATATGTCCGGCTGAACTTTGAGTAAATGTGTGTAAAATTTTGCACAACACATCTAGAATATTTAAAGAACTTAAACTTAGTGAGAAGCTGCACGTTAATTGTATTAATGTTGCACCTTAAACAATTTCTATTGATACATTGTAGCCCTGTAGTCCATGGATAATCATTATTTACTCTGCAGAAAAAACTTTTTTAGGTCAATAACTCATAAATTGATTGTTCTTTCTTCTCTGGTAATTTCTTTATTTCTTTTTGTGTCAAGAGACACTCACGTGTACTTGTGTTTAAATGGATATTTGTATTGGATGTTTTGCATCTACTATTACTGACTGTTGTCTTTAAGTCTGTGAGACACAAAATTTACTCTACTGTAAGTCACCAACTTTAATCTGCCGACTAGATAAAGCCGCTGCTCAGTAGACACAAAATTTAAAAACTTTAAACTTAACTCTTTATGACATTTAAACTATACACAATAAGCTAGCTAACAAAGCTTAGCAAATGTCTGACAAAGCTCAGTAAATCACAAGTACTCAAAAATATACCTTCTTCATCTCTACTGCTATCCAACTATGTAAAATACTCCTATCATCAAAGCGACTGGTGTTTTTCTACTTTTTTATTATATTAACTCGTGAAGCAACATTAGCCCAGGCTGTTAGCATCGCGCTAACTGACTGAGCTAATCTCATATGCTGATGACGTAGAGTCTTGGGACGGAAGACATCGAATATACTGATAGTATTGTGTTTCTGTGTCTAAGTCGAATCTGGCGACAGTTTTAGAATGTTTATTTTAAACATGTTATTACCTCTGAACACGACTCCAGGTTCTACACCTCGACATGTGAGTCGCCATCTTCGATCCTCTGTGACCGGAAATCAACCCGGAAGAAGATGAAAGCGTCTCAAGCACTTCCGCCGCAGACAAACTGAATTTTTTGCTGAAGGGTAAAAGAAAGATCAATGTTTTTTTGTTTGTTTTTTTGTTGTTGTTCTTAGATTTTTGCCTTTTCAAAAATGTATTTATTCATTTATTGATTAATTTATTGATAGAGATAATAAATAGAGACAGGAAAGGCGGGGAGAGAGTGGCAGGCACTGGGGACAACATGCAGCAAAGGGCCCAGGACCCAGGACCCAGGACCCAGCCCAATCATGCAGTACATGCTTTGTGATATATAGTTGTATAGTAAGTTGTATAACTTGCTCATGAATCTGGAGCAAATAGTGTACTCACTTTCAGGGATGAAGATGTATTAACTCCAAACCAATTTATCTGCATCTCTCTAATTTGGGCTCTGGGAAAATAAAACAGAACAATTGATCCTTTAGAGTTGTCAGCGGGCCAAGAGCATTTTTAGCTTCCATTTAGCTTCCCATTACTGAATCAATTTTGACACAGAGGTAGAACTAGCTCTTCAATAACATTAACAGTTTCACTTGAGTTTGAAACATCGTGGAGATTTGACTGGACTGTGACCAGCAGCAGCAGATGATTTGATGAACTGTGTGAATCCTCATCCACTCACACATCTTCAGTTGCTGCTACAATGTTCTCTATCTTGCAGGTTACAGCAGTGTTTTGGTTGATTTCTCTGTTCTTGCACTGCAGCTCAGCTTATGAGCTCCAGGACACCATCCACACTCTGAAAGAAGAAAACCTCCACCTGCAGCACAGACTGGAGAACCTCACGCGGGCTCTCAGAGATTTAAAACACCTGCTGACAGAGCACTCCAAAAGTAAGAGCAGTTATCTTGTTATGGATTATAAATGAAGAAATCTTCAGCAGAGGTGGAACATAGCACTCAATGACTGACATAAAGAGAGAAAGATATTTTCTTGTCACTTCTACTCCACTACATTGCAGAGGAAAATGTACTTTTTACTCAACATTTATTTTACAGCTTCAAGTACAAGTTACTTTACAGGTTAATTTAATTTTCATGCCAAGATGAAGATATCCTGTTTTCCATTTCAATCATTTTGATAATTTATTTATAATACATTTTAAGGTTTGGACTCTTGGACTAAACAATGCAAGCATTGTGAGAATGGGGTCTGAGTAACTGCAATGGGCATTTCAGAATTTTTACCAACCAAATAATTGGTCATTTAAACTAGAAAATAATCCTCATATTATTCCATGATGAAAATAATAATTAGTTGTGGTAAAATTAGCTCCACCTCAACCAACTACAAAAGTAAAATGCTGCTTACACATTAATGCAATAGTAATAAATCCAATGACATAATTATATAATAAAGTAACAGTGCCGCAGGCCATTTGTCTGCATTGAGTGCTTTCGTTTTAATTCTTTTATTTTCCTGATTGTTCTGTCTAACTTTTACTTGTAATGGAGTATTTTTGAAGTGTGGTAATATTACTTTTACTTAAGTAAAGGATCTGAATACTATTTCCACCACTGAGCTTCAGAGTGGAAGTTCACAGCTATATCTTTCACATTTTGACACAGTTTCTGGGAGGGAACATGACACTGAATACCTGCACGCCTGGAGGGAGTGGTCCCAGCATGGTAAGGTCTCAAAATGAGGTTTAACATCATAAAAAAAGACATACATAGATGGTTATGTCTCAACTACAGTTGTATGTTTTCCAGGCATTAGCACTGAGACTCATCAAATGTTGCAGCAGGCCTTCTGTTTAACTGAGCTCCACGGTGCTGCCCGCCCCAGCTTCATCACCCCGAGCTTCCTCCTCCTCCTCTCACCTCTTCTGATTCTCACACTGCTGTCATGACTCAGCTCCTAAAGACCAACAACATCCAGCTTAAAAAAATTTCACCTAGATAATATAGGCTAGTTCCTGTGACTGCAGTGTTAGGACACCATTGTAATTATTATCCTATACCTTGATTCAGAAGCAGGTACATAGCCAGGATTTTTTTTTAAAAATGATGAGTTCAAAGTGCTCCTGGACTTTTTGCACCTTACCTCCATCACTTATGGACGGCTGCAATAGCTTACAGTCAACCTGTCAGACTGTTGCACTATCCTCACTTAGCTATGGAGTATTATTTTTACATTTCTACTATAATTTATACTTGCTACTAAGTAAGATTTATCCACCTCTCTTTATTATGCAAAACTTTTAATTTTAATTTGTCAGTTCGTTGATTCTAAATTGCACACATTATTTAATTCATCCATTTATTACATTCTTTTGTACACCTCTCCAGTGGTGTAAATTGTTGAAATTAAGGCAGTTTTAATGTGAAATAAAGTTTTTTATGAAGCTTTGCTTTGTTGATGGTTTTTATGGAGCATGTCTGGTATGAATTTTAACAGTAGCAGCACTCACAGTATAGAACTCACACAACACATTGAACTTTTTCCTGAATTTGTAATTAATCAAGACTTTCCATGTTGGCTTTAATCAACAACAAAAATGATAGAAATGTTGTAGAAATGTGGCTGTCCTTCAACAGTGACAATTACATAATAATCATTGTTATTTTCACAATTATTATTTTTGCTATTATTGTCATTATTATTATACATAATCACAGACAAAATGTCACTTTATATACATTTTGTCTATTGTCCTTCATGGTTAAAATGTCTTCTGTGTCACCTTCTGTTTGTCCATTTGTCACCAATAAAGAAAAGAAAATGCTAATGCTAGTGATCCCCCACTTGTTATTTAGCATTCTTACGAAATCGTTAAATTCATTCATCACTGAACAATGCCAGCAAGCTAGCTGCTAACGCTAGCAAGCAGACAGGAGAAGTAGAGCAGGCTGATGAGGAAACAGCTGCATCTGCAGGGTTTTAGGTGAGGTTTTAAAATGATAGCGTGAAATATAAACTATTATGCATTAAATGTAAATTATTAAATTATATTTAACGTAAAGTAGTCCACCTATTTTTATATTAACTTGTAAGTTATTGTAAATCAGACGAGAATTTCCTAAAGTTTTAGTCTTTGATCTGATACTGCATAGTTTTATTTAAATGTCAGTACATTTCTGAATGTAACTTCAGATCTTATATGTAAATAAACCATTTGGTTGACAGCATTAAAAAGTCCTCTTTGTTTTGGAGGGGTGGCGGGGTTGTTGCATCCCTACCAAAGTTGAGACCAAAGTTATGCCCTTGCATCCACAGTATTTTCTTCATTTAAATGGTTTTTAGCATTATTATCTTTGTCATGGAAAAACATTTTCATGATTAAAATGAAAATACATAATTAATATGTATGTGTAGTCAAATGCAATGGACATGCTGATAAACTTTTGCTAAAAGACTGGTGTGAAAAATAAAATCTCTAAAGGAAGAAAAAGAAAGGATAAATATATATAAAGAAAATAAAATTACATACAGAAAGTTACAATAGCAAATGGGGAATAAGACATACAATAATTGATATATTTTGATATATAACAGATAATTCTATACTGTACCATTTCTCAGCAGTGATAAAAGTCAGTGGGTCTTTACCACAAAGAAACCCCTTTCAGTATCTACACTGCACCGTGGTCTCACACAGATTGTTTGAGAGAACTGGGATGCTACATGTCCTTTGGTGGATTTGTGTGTTTGATGTTGTCCTGAATCCAACAATGTTACATTACGCCTGCTAAACCAGTCTTTGTCTGCTTAATTAAAATGACCCTTCCTGCATAGATTATAAATCGGTGCATTTGTACTTTAATTTCCATTTGATTATGCTGAATGGATTGCCAATTTACATTTGCAAGGACTTCATCTGGCCCCAGTAGACATGTGGCAAGTCTACAGTACAGTATGTAAGCCACAGCCATGCACATGAGTAAGTGAGACAGTAGCCACTGCATGGACGGCTGTGTACGTTTGCGTACTCTTCTCCCCTTTTAACATGAAAAGAGGTCAGTTTATGGTTGAACCTAGATCAAGAATCTACAGCCAGTGGCTCTGTGAGGTTGCCTTTAGGTACAGTGGTGCTTTTAGCTGAATGCTAACATGCTCACAATGACAATACAAGCATGCTAATATCTTGAACGTATAATGTGTATAATTTGTTTAGTGTCTCAGATTTACAGTAGTTACCAACAAACTAAGGCTGATGGGAATATCATTTGTTTTTGCAGGTGCTAGTTGAAAGGTTAAGGGATCACCAAGGTTACGACAGTTCATCCTGAGGGAAACATGAATGGCTGTACCTAATTTCAATCCATCCAATAGTATTTGAGATATTTTACATGAAACCTCATGGTGGCACTAGTGGCAAAGTCAGTGGATCATCAAAGTGTTAAGGATTCATTAGCAACCATGATCGTCTTTACAAAAGTATGTGAAATTTTGTGTTTAAACTATCGATGAAGACTGTCAGTCAAAAGCTCAAGAACGAGCAAGTGGACCTTGTCTTCTTACAGCTGTACTTTCTTTACAGTCAGCCTTTTTAATACAAGCAAATGATCTCGCCTCGTGGAAATTTCTTCACTTACTTTATGAAAATGATGATAATGTTTCATACAATGTTTAATGACCTGTTAGGATAGACATTCTTTACAGATGCTGAAGAGACACTAGATGCTAAATGTTTGTCCTCAAATGCTCTACATTGATTGACTGTTGCCGTGATGGTCATTATTACCCCTCATTAACCTACATTTAACAGGACACAGTTCAATCTGCTGAAGGTGTAGATCACTGTGTGCTGACATGGCAGTGCTTCAGTCACAAACAATCTTTATTTAGTGTCACTGTGATGTTAGCTTCTGCAGTATTGCGCTCATAATGTGGGAAGTAGTTTGAGACTGACTCACAACCACAAGAGTGAGGGGTTGATTAAATGTATATCTGAGAAAGACTGACTGATGTTACTTCAGAAGAAAGAAGTCGAATAGTTTAAGGATCAATGT